ACAGCTCTCGCAACCTCCTCCGTGGACCTGACCTCCCTCTCGGTGGAGGGTAAGGACAGTCCCTGTGTATGGTAGGGCTCACTGCCAGCTCTGTTCACCTAGCACTCGTGTCTTGCCTCTCCAGGAGCCAGGCTTCACCTGCAGGTTTACCCGGTCTCCTTCCTCATCACTAACAGACACTTCAGCGAGGACCTTCTGGATCCACTTGCTATAGAGCCCCAGGAGCTCACCAGGGACCTTGGTGATGTGGTAGGCATGGCTGGTGGGAGGGGGCCAGGGCCCTCCCAGGGTGCTGAGAAAAGGAGGCTGAGGACCACTGTGGGAAGAGGGGGTTTCCAAACCAGATCCTCAGCACCAGTGCTGTGGCTGGTACCCGCTGAAGGCAGGCACTGAGGCTTTAGTGGCAGGACGTTTTCTCTCTGACATTTCAGTGGTTGAGGGACCTGGAGGGTGCTGCAGGACCGCAGCTGCCCCGTGTCCCTGCTGTAGTGGCTGTCCCAGCCCCATCGTGGCTGTGGAAGTGGTGGTCTGGCTGGGTGAAACACCCCGAAGGCTGGTGGGGGAGCTGAGCAAAACCTCTCTTCCAGGTGGCGAGAGCCCTGAGGGACTACAGGAGCTTCCTGCAAGCGGTGATAAGAGGATTCCTGTGAGTGGGAGCAGAGGGTCTGCAGGGGCAGGAGAAGGGGTGGGGGGGCGTGTCTCCCTACAGACATCAGCCAACAGGCCGTGGCTGTCGGGTGCGTTGTCTCAGCCACAGAAGGGTTTGCAGCAGGCAGCTGAGGTCAAGCATCTACCTGCTGTCGTGGGTGACTCGCTGGTCTCCCAGGGATGTCCTGCCCATCCCAAAGAGCAGATGCCTCCCTGAGTGCAGAGACATCCTCCCGTGACCCCTCTGAGCAAAACCAGCCAGGGGTCTGGCTGTGCCCATGGCCACAGCCTGGCATACAGCTGTGGGACCGGCTGGAGCTCTTCCCAACCCTGCCCACAGGCCTGGCTCCCTGATCTGCCATGGGGACGTGGTCTTCCAGCACCCTGCTCCGACCAGCCTGGAAGTTTTGGAGACGCTTGTGCTCTCGGTTGGGCCAAACAAGGCTTTGGCTGGTTCAGACTTCCAGGTGGACCCATATTCTCTCGCTGTGGCAGGTAAGCTTTCCTTCGGGGTATGGGTATACAAGCTTCACCAGCTTGTGGCTCCGTGCCTGCGGCATGAGCAGAGCAGATCCACAACCAACTAGATCCAGATCCCTTATGCAAAGGGAGGGTGTGATGTCTTGGCTGGTGAGGTGATCAGCTTGCCGTGGTTGATCTGAAAGTACAGTCCTAGCCACAACCGTGCCCTATCCCTCTGCGCAGCCTGGGGGCACTGGAGATGGAGACCCTTCTGCTGCAGGCTGGCACAGGACAGGAGGGAGGGGTTACCTGGAAAGGGCATACAGGGTCAAATAGATGTTATTGGCATCCTCTATATTTCCTCCTGGGTCCTGAGGGAGAGTGGGTGGTTGCAGTGGTGTCCTGCAGGCTGTGCTAACTGTGCTCTGCTCCAGAGGACACGCTGGAGCCCCCCAAGCCTGAACCAGGCTTTCCCGAGCACGGCGTGGCCATCATGGTCGTGTGTGCCCTCTGCATCATTACTGCTCCCATCGTCTTCTTGGTGGTAAGAGCGATGTCTATTGTCTCGCTGGGGTGGGTGTAGACAAGCTGGGGTGAAGCAGCGCCGGTCCCTGTGCGAGGTGAGCGCAGAGCAGAGGGACCGGTGTGGGGCCAGACACGGCTGCAGCCCCCCTGCTCTCTTCCCTAGTGTCTGAAGACCAAGAGGCTTGTCTCATGGGATGTGGCAGCCCTCTGGGACAGAAGAGACCTTGAAGCAGGGACCCAGACACTGGAAATGGATAACCGAGGGTTCTGGGCATCCTCTGAACGGGTAAGTGGCCTTCACACTCCCTTCAAATAGCTTCTGTGCTTTGGAGCTGGAGCCTTGAAGCACAGCTGGTGTTTCTGCAGGTCACAGTACCTGGTGCCAGTCCTGGCCACTGCCAGGAGGTGGAGAAACCCCTGGGGCACTGGAGGGAAGGAGACCTCACCCCCTGTTCTTCCTGGAGAGGGGCACAGTGACTTTTCCCCTTCTCACCCACAGGGCACTGAGGATGCTCATACATGCTGGCAAACTGACTCTGCTTGATGAGAGAAGATGCAGCTGACGGGGGAGCCTGAAGAAGGCTCGTGGGGGCAAGAGATGTTCAGAAGATGCACCTCAGGCTGCAGCTGCCACGTGCTCCCTGAGAAAGATGCAGGCTCAGGTGTATAAGGGAATAACTTCGTATGTTAAACTTTTAATAAACTGCTTATAGAATGTCAAACCCAGCTGTGGAGGGTCTCTGCTTCTGCTCTGTGTTAAACCCTCCTGCCTGGGAGGGCAGCCCTGCCCTGGGCTTCCAAGTGCAGCTCCTGGGGCTAGGAGCTGTAACACACAGCTGCCAGGCCAGGGGTGGCTTATACTTAAACCCAGGCTTAGGAGCTGCAAGCTCCTCCTGGCTGGACCTGGCTTTGAGCACCTCCAAGCCGAGTGCTGCTGCTCAATAAACTGAGCTTGGTCTTGTCTGGTTCTTGACTAACTACTCGGTACTGCCAGGGAGTTAAAAGGCCAAGGAACTGTTTCCTTCTTGGGGAATCAAGTGCTGGGCTGGTCCCTGGGTAAAGGAGCCTTTGTCCCTCTGCAAAGGGTCCCTCCTTTCACCCCAACAGGCACAGCACCCTCTGCTGGGAGCTGTTAGTGCTGCCTAATTAACTACCAGACAAAGTTGGTTTTGTTTTTTCCCTTCTCACTGCATGTTTTCCCCCAGTGTGGGGGGACTACTCTGCATGGAGACAGAAAGCAGGCTGTACATAAAGACACTTAATTAAAAAAGAAATTTCAGTTGCCTTTTTTTTTTTAAATTCTGTAATCAAAGATTAGCCAGTCCCCTGGTTTTCTAAAGGAGGGGTGGAATGATGGGGTTGGTAGTGGGGAGGGGGCTACAGCTGTGGCCCCTGTGAGAAGTTTTTTCAGAGCTCCCCTGGCTCCAAATTAGACTCACCTCTGGCCAATAAGCAATGGTGGCTGTGCCTCTGCAAGAACGTATTTCAGAAGAGGAACCTGAGAGGAGTTAAAGTCGTGAGGACACCTTTATGAAGACAGGTCAGTGGAAGAAAGGAGGAAGAGGAGCGGTGTGCCGGAGCAGAGACCTCCCTGCAGCCCATGGAGGTCTGCAGCGGAGCAGATGCCCACCTGCAGCTCATGGAGGACCCCACACTGGAGCAGGTGACTGTGCCCAAAGGAGGCTGGGACTCTGAGGGAAGCGGCTCCCACTGTTGTAGTTTGGCACTGGGAGCACTGCAACATGCCAGGGGGGAGGCCCACACCAGAGCAGCTCAGGAAGGGCTGTAGCCTGTGGGAGGGACTCGCGTTGGAGAAAGTTTATGGAGGACTGTCTCCTGTGAGAGGGGAACAGTGCAAGGAGCTCCTGAGGAGGAGGGAGCAGCAGAGACAGTGGGTGATGGACTGGCCACAACCCCTATCCCCTGAGCTGCTGGGGGGGAGGAGGGAGAGAAATCAGGAGGGAAGCTAAGCCCAGGGAAGAGTGAGAAAGTGGTTTTAAAATGTTGTAATGCTTCTTGTTGTCTTGCTCTGTTAAGTGGTGGTGGTGTTTAAATAGATTAAATTGATGATTTAATTAATTGAACTAAATTGATGTTCTTTTTCTTCCCCTAAGAGTCTGTCTTTTGCCCAGGACCATAATGGGTGAGTCACTCCTCCCTGTCCTTATCTTAATGGCCGAGCCTTTTGTTGTATTTTCTCCTTCCAGTTCCTGAGGGGGAAGGAGAGAACTGGTGGCTGTGTGGTGCTCAGTTGCCCTCTGGGCTCAAACCACGACAGCAGGCAAGTAAGATCCTCTCTGCAGTTAGTGGTGGAGCTGACCCCATCCTGCTCTCGGGGTGCTTGTGCCCCGTGAGGGCTGGCCCCGTGGGAGCAGGGAGCCTGGATACGGCCAGCAGGGATGTGCTGAGCTTCTCCTGCTCCTTTCTGAGGGGCAGAGGGGCTAAAACCAGCCCTTCCCTGTGCTCCTTGTGCAAGACAAGGAACCACTGAGTGCTCCTCAACTCCTACCCTGCCCACTCCTGCCTGGAAATGACCCACAAGCAGTGAGCTCCTTGGGGAGGAAACTTATTGCTTGCCCAAACATTGAGAAAATGAGAGCTCAAGCACCCGAAGGCATGAAGCAGCTGTCGCTGCTGCTTGTCAACTCGAATCTGTGGGGTTGGCTTTGCAAATCAAGGGCCGCAGATTTCCTCAGAACTGACTCACCTCTTCTCTTGGCTGTCATCTTACCCCCAGCACGTGAGTAAAGAGTAACAAGCGTAACTCAAAGCCTGGCCAGGCCAGCTCTGCTGTTGCTTAGGAGGAGAAAAGGAAGTGATTCGGTAGAAATCTCTTTAAATGCTGGTTTTCTAGAAGTGACACTTGCCCAAAGGCACAGGCAGGAACCACCTGACCCTAGAGCACTGAAAGTAAGCATGACAAAAAAGGGGGAACCCCAGCAAATGGGCTGAGTGAGCATGAGAGTCAGCCTGGAAAAAAAACCAAACTGTAATGAATCAAAACAAGGCAGGGGAAAAAAAAAAAAAAAAAAATTACCCTGGGCCATCTAGAAATGATGTGATGGGGCTGTTTAGCAGTGGGAGGTCGCTGGGGTGAGTGATGGGGCTCTGGCTGCTGCCTTGCTCGGCCGGGTCCCAGCCTGATGCCCTTGAACCCCCCAGAGTCCCTGGGGTCCCACCAGCACCGTCCCGCTTGCACCGGGCCCGTGCTCAGGGCTGGTCACCCCAAAAAGCCATGTAAGAAAGTGGAGCGAAGCTTTCCCAGAAGGGCAGGGGCTGCCCCCAGTGCCCTGGGGCTGGTTTCCGCCCCCAACCAGACCCAGTGCTCCCCAGTGTTACCAGAAAGCAGTAATTAATTCACACTCTACGACTCAATTTTGGAGTTTTAGAAAGCAGGCGTTCTTCGTTACAGCGCCGGACACACAGGGGAGAGCTCCTCCTAATGTGCGTGTCTGGAACCAAAGTCAACAAGCACTTCTACTACCTTAATCATGCCTATTCCTTGCATTTTTATCGTATCTTTATCCTTTTCATAACTTTTCCAGGAACTCATTAGCATATGTTAATGTCTCTTGTGCATGTCTGTTGGTCTTCAGGTGGTCATTGAGGATCTTTAGATGAAGGCTCGTAGTCTTCTTCCCTGTGTCTGCCCGTCGACCCTTACTTCTGCATGAACTCATTCCTGCGGTCACGTAGATCTTGTCCTTGAAGTCCTGCCTGGTCTGGTTTTGGTGCTAATTTGCAGCTCATCTTTTTGTTTCTTTGCAGCTGCTACTACAAGGCCGAACCGTCTCGGGTAAGATTATTTATGAGTTCTTCATCCTCTTCTAAGTATGCCTCAAAAGATCAGTATTTGTTCTGCAGCACAGCGGTTAAATGGTTAAAACAGCTTAAATTGATCTTAACAGTTCTATTCCACAAATATCTGTTTTCTAACAATCTTAGTTCACGGGTATCGCCAGGAGCAGCTGGCAGGGGGCTGAAATGAAGTTTGTAAGGGTGGAGCTAGAGCTGAAGTAACGACTGCTGGGCTGGGGCTGAAATAAAGATTGTAGGGCTGTTGGTGAAATGGGTGATGAAACAGATGAAATAGCAGGGCTGGGGCTGAAATAAAAAAAATTTAAAAAAAAATAAAAAAAAATAAAAAAAAAAAAAAAAAAAAAAAGAAAAAGAAAAAAGAAAAAGAAAAAAGCCGCTGGGGTTGGAGGGGAAGTGGAGACCCTGGGGCTGAAATAAAGACCGCGGGGCTGGCGCTGGAATAACTTACGGCAGCATCACCGGGATGCGCAGCGGCCGCAGCACCGGGGGGCGGGGCCGGGCGGCTCCTCCCCCCGCCCGGGAGCGGTTCCGGGTCGCGGAGGCGGGATCTGCGGCGGCACCGGCGGCGACATGGTGGGGCGGGGGGCCGGGGCGGGGGGCGGGGGGCTCCGCGGCGGGCTCTGACCTCGCTTTCCGCCCCCCGCAGCGGTTTCGCTTCTGCGGGGACCTGGACTGTCCCGACTGGGTCCTGGCCGAGATCAGCACCTTGGCTAAAATCGTTAAGTGTCCCCCCCCTTCCCCTCGTCCCCGCGGGTCCCCCCCGCCCGCCCCGGCGCGGTGCTCACCCTCCTTTTTTGTGTGTGTCCCCCCCCCCCCCCCCCCGCAGTCCTCGGTGAAGCTGAAGCTGATCTGCGCCCAGGTGCTGCGGGACCTGCTGGGAGACACCATCGAGGTGAGCGGGACCCCAATTCCGTGGGGTCACCGTGGTGGGGGAGAGTGTCACGACGCCGTAATTACACGGTTAGCAATCTTATCTAAGCATTCCTAATGCAAGCCTCATGGTTAAGAGTGCAACCAGCCAGTCCTGGTAGTAATATAGATGTTAAGTGTTATTAGCATTAATACCAAGGTAAGAATTGCTAGCGTTAATGGTAGCGAACGCGTTACGCGGCTGTACGGTATCTGGTGGGTACCCCCACGCTCTCTTTCCCCCAGTATGAGAAGATCCTCAAGCTGACCTCTGACGCCAAGTTAGGTGAGCACTGCTGCCCCAGCCCCGACCGGGGTCCCCCCGGGGAGCCGGCGTCCCAAGGCGGCAGAGCTCACCCTCCGTCCCCTCCCGCAGAATCGGGGGACGTGAAGGCGACCATCGCCGTCCTCGACTTCATCCTCTCCAGCGCCGCCAAGCACAACGTGGACAGCGAGTCCCTGTCGAGCGAGCTGCAGCAGCTGGGGCTGCCCAAAGGTGGGTGGGGGGACGGACACGGAGACCCTCAGGGTGTCGTGTGCGGCCCCCGGCACTGCCCCTCCCTCCTTCGCGCCCAGATCTGGTGCGGGATGGCAGCCACCCTGTCCCCATCGCCTCCCCTCTGCACCGTCCGTCCCCAGGGGCCCCTCCGGGTGCTTTACCGGGGGTTTGGTCGCAGTTTGGTTTTCTTGTCTCTCCCGCCGGCGGGGCAGAGCATGCCAGCGGGCTGTGCCGGTCCTATGAGGAGAAGCAGAGCTCCCTCCAGGACAGCCTGAGGGCCTCCAGCCTGAGACGTGAGTGTGGGCGTGGGGAGGTTTGGGGCTGGGGGCTGCCCCTGCCCACGCGCGCCGGGATGCTGATGCTGGCCACCCGCCTGGCGCAGTGAGCCAGCTGGGCTCGGTGTGCTGGCGGGTGGACTACACCCTCAGCTCCAGCGAGCTGCGGGAGGTCAACGAGCCCCTCGTGCACCTGACCTTCAACGTGCGGGACGGGGAGCGCGGGAGGACAGCGGCCATCCCCATGGCCCTCTCGGCTGACAAGTTCCGGGTGCTGCTGGCGGGTGAGGCCAGAGGAGGGGTGACCGCGGGGAGCCCTGGCCCGGGGGGGATGCTGGGGGCATGCTGGGGGGGGGATGCTGGGGTGCGGATGCTGAGGGGATGCGGGGGGGGATGCTGGGGTGTGGATGCTGAGGGGATGCGGGGGGGGATGCTGGGGTGTGGATGCTGAGGGGATGCGGGGGGGGATGCTGGGGTGTGGATGCTGAGGGGATGCGGGGGGGGATGCTGGGGTGCGGATGCCGGGGTGCGGATGCTGGGAGGGATGCTGAGGGGATGCGGGGGGGATGCCGTGGTGCCGGCAGCTCCCCCCCACACCTCCTCCCTCTCTCCTCAGAGCTGAAGCAGGCCCAGGCGCAGATGAACAGCCTTCTCTGAGGAGAGCCGGGGGAAGGGGCGATGGCTGGGCGGCAGGACAGGACCTGGTGCGCCCGGCTGGGCCCGGGTGCTGGCCGGCTCGGGGAGGGGGGGGAAGCCGGGGGGGGGCGGCGAGCGAGGCCGGTGTGGGGGCTGTCCCTGTCCCCCAGAGGACGCGCCAATAAAGGTGACGGTGACAAAAGGCGAGCGTGTCTCCCCGGGGCGGGACTACAACTCCCAGCGTGCCGCGCGCCCGGGCGGGGGGCCGGTCCCTCCGGTCCCTCCGGTCGCGGCGATGCCCGAGTGCCCGGAGCTGCACCTGGCCGGGCGTTACATCAACGCGGCGTGCGGCGGGGTCGTGTTCTCGGGCGGCGTGGAACGCTCGCCGGTGGGCAGGGGCCCCGCGGTGCCCTTCCGCAGCCCGGCCTACCGCATCTCGGCCGCCTCCCGGGGCAAGGAGCTGCGGCTGCTGCTGGCCCCGCTGGGCCCCGGCGAGCCCCAGGCCCTCGTCTTTCGCTTCGGGATGTCGGGGTCGTTCCGGCTGTGCCCGGCCGGCCGGCCGCCCCGCCATGCCCACCTCCGCTTCCTCACGGCCGAGAGCCCCCCGCGCGCCCTCTGCTTCGTCGATGCCCGGCGCTTCGGCTCGTGGCGGCTGGGTGACGCCTGGCAGCCGGGCCGCGGGCCCTGCGTCCTCGCCGAGTACCAGGCCTTCAGGTGAGACCCCCCCCCCCCAGCCGCTCGGCTGCTCCGCCTGACAGCGCCGGGGGGAACAGCCAGGCCCGAGCGGAGCCTTCCCGGCGGGGCTGTTGCAGGGAGAACGTGCTGAAGAACCTGGACGACAAGGCGTTTGACAAGCCCATCTGCGAGGCCCTCCTGAACCAGAAGTTTTTCAACGGAATCGGGAATTACCTCTGCGCTGAGATCCTGTACAGGTGAGGCTGGCTGAGCGCCCGCCGTGGACCTTTGGGCTCCCAGAGTTTGCCGGAACTTGCCGGCTCCTCGCCTGGTAGCCGCGGGCAGGTGCCAGAACCGAGAGTTGGGGCTTGTGTGTAACCGGTGGGCTCTCTCAGGTTGAAGATCCCTCCCTTTGAAAAGGCTCGGACCGTGCTGGAGGCCCTGAAGGCTCAGGAGCAGGCGAGGAGGCAGAAGGTGGGGAATACCTGGTGCTTTCACAGGCTCAGGAAGGGGACAGGTCTCCAGACAGGGATTTGTTTTCCTGCGGCCCCACAGGACATCTCGGTGGGTCCCTGGAGCCTCTCACTGTCCGTGCAGGGAGCCAGACCGAGCTGAGAAGCGTTCCCGCGTCGGGTTTGGGCTCAGCAGCGGTGGAGGCGACTCAGTTTGCTTCCAGCCCCCACTCTGGGCTCAGCCGGCTCTGGCCCTGCTTTGGGCTCAGCTCTGGTTCAGGTCTGCTGTTCTAGGTTTGTTCCAGCCCAGGGCTCGGGGCCGGTTTCAGTTCACGTTTGGTTCCTCGCTCTGATGGGGCAGAACCTCAGCACGAGGCTTTTGCAGAGCTCGCACAGCACTGCTCTTGCAGGCGTGGTTGCTGCTCTGTCTTTCCCAACCCGACAGCAGGCGTTTTCCCTCCACAACTATAACGCTTGCTGCGTGGGATCCTTCTCCTCAAGCATTTTACTGTCCTTTGCCATAAGCCCCGGTGTCTGAGCATGTCTGCCCCTCCAGTGGGGCGCAGCGGTTCTGTAACCTCACGCACACAATGCTTGTTCACACGTGGCCGGGCTGCCGAGCCGTGGCAGCTCCCTGGGCACGTGCCTGCTGTCAGGAAGGAATATTTGGGGTGGGTGAAGAGGAAGGGGTGAGGGAAACAAACACCTGGCAAGCTTGAAATCTCTGGGGAAGGCTGCAGTAGAGCCCATGGCTGATCTCACGGCCTCAGGGGAGAGGAGGTGGCTATTTTCAAGGGGGCTGAAAACAAAACATGCGACTCGACTCGAGGGTTGTTTTTACAAACTGCTGCTGTTCCTGTGCACTAGCTCTTCCACATCTTTCTGGCTGTGGGGAAGGTGCTAATGCGCAGTTGGAAGCCAACAACGGGGCGAGTTCAGGGCTGGGATGTGGTGGGGAGTGTGACAGCACATCCGGAGGAGGGTGAGAGGAGGTGGGGAGGAGAGACCCTCGCCGAGGCTGGGGCGGCTGGCAGGTGAGCTCCCTCCCCTTCTCCACCCCTGCAGAATCCGGCCCTGACGCTGAGCAAGAAGCTGAAGCTGATGCGGGAGAACCCGGATCTCCTGGAGCTGTGCCACACCGTGCCCATGGAGGTCATCGCGGCGGGTGAGAGGACAGGGACCGCCGGGGAGCCCTGGGCTTTGCGTTCCCAGCAGCTTGGGAGGGCACCCCGACACCACGGTCACTGCTTCCTCTCTCCTTCTGTCCTTTCCCTCTCTCCCTTCCCAGAGAAAAATCTCCTTGACCCAGATCACTCGGATAACTACGCCGCGTTCAAGAACTGGCTGCAGTGTTACCTGGTGCCTGGCATGAGCTGCCTGCGCGACCGCAACGGCAGGACCGTGTGGTTCCAGGTAGGAGCCTGGGGGTCACTCTCTGGGGCTGGCTGGTCCCCAGCCGCTCCTCCGAGGTGACACCAGCCTGTTTTCTGCTGCCCGAGACCCCAGCATTACACTGCAGAGCTGGGGGTTCTCCGCTGTGACTGCTGGATGGGGAGGTGACAGAGGCCCTCCATGGCTGAAGCAGAGGGCCTGATTGCAGGAACGGGGGGCTCAGGCAGCCTGGGCGAGGTGCCGTGGTTGGCAGAAGGAGCAGCAGCTGCGGGGAGAAGTCCCCAAAGGCACAGGGCAGGCAGAGCAAGCTCGACTCCCCCAAATTCCTGGGGAAAGGGGGCTGTTTCCTTGTCCCCGTCTTCACTGCGGGGTGGAGAAGGGGCACAGATTCTGCTGGCACTGCCTGCAGAATGACTGTGACCCAGCCAACGCTCTGTCACCTTCCTTGCAGGGAGAGCCTGGCCCCATGGCTCCCAAAGGTGAGTGTCCGCTCTCCTCCCAGGGTGGGGGAACCTGCTTTTGCTGCGGGAGGGCTGGAGCCTGGGAAGCCCAGCGCTTGCTGTGCAGCACGGGGGCAAAAGCAGGAGCAAAGCCCCTGTCCCTGGGTTGCTGACGGGCTTGTGACAACCAGTGGCACTGGGGGACAGAGCCCACTGCGCCCAAGGCTTCCTGCCAGGCTTTCAGGGTGCTTTTCTGGGCTGGAAAAGCCTTTTCCTCACCTGTGCTCTCCCTGGGGCTGCGAGCCTGAACTGAGCAATGCTTTGGCAGGGGAGGAGAGGAGCCCCCTCGAGCCATTCCTCCACCCCAGTGCCAATTCCTCAGTGCTCAGCTCACGCAGCGTCCCGGAAAGGTCACAGCGCTGCAGCCTGTCCCTCGAGGTGCTGGCACTCTGCCCCCTCTCCCCCACCTAACCCGGGCACGTCTCCTCATGCAGGGCAGACACCCCGCAAGAAGCGCGCTCAGCTGAAGGCAGATCCCGAGGCTCTGACCCCCAAGGTAAGAAGCTTTGTGGTTGTGACTCCTGCTGGGTCTAGAGGCTGTCCTGTTCCCCGTGCCCCGCTCGGGCTGCTCCCGAAATCTCAGTGCTGCTCCTGCCTGGAGTTTCTCGTCATCTGGCAGTCCAAGCACTCGTCTGCTGCTCTGATGTCCGCCCAGGTCACCACACGTGCCTCGAAACGGCGTCCCAGGGCTGCAGCAAAACCCCCAAAGTCGGCCAAGGAGGAGGAGGAGGAGGAGGTGGCTGGTGGGCTGAGGAAGGGACGGGCTCGCGGGAGGAGGAAAGCGACCGCTGCTCCGGCCTCGTCTGAGCCTGAGGCACCGCTCAAAGCCCGAAAAAGCCGCCGGACGCCTGCACGCAGGGGCAGAGGTGAGGCTGGCAGCCCCTGCGGCTTTCAAACGCACTGGCAGAGGGGGCTGTGGGAGCTCTCCCTCACCCCCTGATTTCACATTTCTCTCCCATCTTCCAGGCGCAGCCCCTGCCGTGTGAGTGCTGCATGCTGCCCTCCCCAGGGGTGATTTAGCAGCCGCAGGGGGAGCTCGGGGAGCTGGGGAGAAATGGGGCTGCTCTCTACTCGTGCTCACAACCGCTTGCTGCCGCTGCACCCTGCCAGTGTGGCAAGGAGAATTGGGGCTGAGTAATGGGGCTGGTTTTATCCAGTGTCCTCCTGCTGTACCCAGGCATCTGAGGGAGATAAGGGCACAGTCCAAATGTTGTGCTGGACTCTGACCCTTCCTCTGCCTAAAAGCAAATTCGCTCCTCCTTCCCCTCTTCCCTTTCTGGCTGCTGCCTGGATCACCGTTTTTAGCTGACTAATAAAGTATTTTGTGTAGAAATCACCATGCATGCCTTCTTGTGCTAAGGATAACCCCTCTGTGGCCAGCCTCTTCCCCAGATGGGCTGGAGCAGGCTTCCACCTCAACCCCCCCAAAATAAAGGTAAGCTCTGCCTCCCCAGTCCCAGGAGTGAAATCCTGCTGAGGACACAAAAGAGCAGCAGCTACAACAGAGCCCCTGGGAGGAGGTGGATTGGTGGTGTTACCTGGAAATAAGTTAAGAAAACAGGCTGGAGCTTGTTTTCACATAATCCTCTTGTTTACTTGTGCTCCCCTTCTGCAAGGGCAGTGCGAGAGGCAGGCGAAGGCAGAGGGGAATGAGTGCCGTGTGTCTTTACACGCAGGACAAGAGGAAGGTGGGAGACACAGGAGCCACTGTGGGAAGCTGCTGCTCCCCAAGCCCGGCTGGTGCTGGAGCAGAGCCTGTGTGGGGCCAGCCGGCCTGTCCCACAACGTTCCCCACCCTTCAGCTAGCTAGGAACTCACTCGGGCCCTCCTCCCCTGGCTAGGCAGGGGGCAACTCTCCTCCTCTCCTGAAGAACGTGGCTTTCTGCTCTCCCATGGCTGGGTGGGCGGACGAGGGGGAGACTCTGCCCTTCCCTGGAACCGCCGCCTCCTCCTGGCACAGCTCTGGGGATGGGGGCAAGCCTCGGGCTGCAATCTGAGCTCCCGGTGTTGGTCCAGGCTGCCCGCGGCGTCCCGCAAGGGCGATGGATGGAGTCACTGCCTCAAGAGCAGGAGGACGGAGAGCACGCGGAAGGGCGTGAAGGAAAGCTTCATGCCCCGGCCCTCCAGCGGCAGGCGGCCCTGGGCAGCCGGGCGCTCCAGGAGGTCACAGCTGGGGAAGAAAGCGGCGGGTGAGGCCGAAGCAGCTGATCCCCATCCCCACACGCGCCCAGCCCGGACTTACAGCATCGCCTCCTTAATGGGGAGGGAGGTCTGGAGCCAAGCGACCACCGTGCTGCCATGCGCCTCGTACAGCCGAACCACCACAGCCTCAGGCCTGTCCTCGGCCTTCAGGGGACAGCGCAGACGGGATTTCAGACAAACGAGACGGGCACACGCTGCCCCACGCCTCGGGGGTACAGCCTGACCCACGCGATCGCAGCTCTGCCCGGGCACACGACGCAGTGCTAACACCTGGGGCTGCAGGACCCACGTAGGGATGGGGATGGTACCGTGATCCCTGGACAAGCAGGCCGGTGGGGATCACTGTTTCCACCCAGCTGAGCCTGCCCACCGCCCAGCGTGGGGGAACAGAGCAAGCCATGCTGAACTACAACACCTTAATGCGCCTGCCCTCCCCACCTCCACGCCGGGGACTTGCCTGCTTGACAGTCTCCAGCACGACTGCAGGTGAGCTGACAGAAAACGCGCTCCAGGCCGGGCACTGGGCAGAGCCGGCCGGGATGGCGTGGAGCGGGAAATTCAAGTTGTAGGCACGTTGGATCACACCGGCATCCTGGAAGGAACCTGCAACACAAGAACCTCTAGCCAAGCCTCTACACACGCACAGCCAGAGCGGTGCTCACCCCACGGCTCACTGGAGCACCCTCCACCCTGCACGTCCCCCCGCTCTGCCCCTTGCTCACCCAGGTGAGGCATCACGGCGTAGGTGAACTGGTGGGGCGTGATGTCTGCCGTGGCATCGGGGGACTTGGGGGCTCTCAGCCTAGGGCAACAAGGGAGGTGAGACCGGTGTCACCCAGTGCAGAGCCAGGGGAACACCGTGACAACTGCCACCCCCCTGCTACCTCCAGGCTGGAAGCCAACATGCTGCTGGTCTCTGGCAGCAGCAAACAGACTCTGGACAGTCCCAGAAGCTAAGAAATGTGAAGGGTGCTGTCCCATGAAACTTGTGGCTGATGGAGTCAAACTGAAATACGTAGAGTTTCTCCTAGATTTGCATGCATCTGTAACATTGCTGTTCCTTCCCTTCTCCTTAAGCCTCCCCTCCTGGGGTATGTTTTGGCCAGCAACAATAAAATTACTTAGTGTAAATGTCGATCTGATCTCTCCTAAATTATCTATGAGTGTAACTCGTAAGAATTACATTATCTCAGTCAACTGTAATTATGTCAGCCAAAAGTTCTCAGATGACAACCAGCCACTGAGACTAATACCAGACTATTTCCTTATTAACTATGATCATTTAGGACCAGGCGCTGCCTCGACTTCCAAGAGACACCTCGGAAGGGGAAGTGACTGCTGCAGCTCCGCGCTCACCCCAACCCCAACTCACAGCGAGAGGCTGAGGACATTCCCGTGGGCTGATGCCCCGTATTTGCAGTCGTTCAGCAGCGCCACCCCAAAGCCGTGCTCGGAGAGATCCAGCCACTTGTGAGCCCACACCTGCAGGAGGTACCCAGGGACACATTCAGCACACAGAGCTCCTGCCTGCGAGCAAGAGCAGCCCCAGCCCGGGAGGAGCAGCTCGGCCCTGGGACCAGACCACCTCTCCTCTCACCTCGAATCGAGCCCAGTCCCACGACGTGTTCCAGTGCGTTGGCCGCTGCAGGTGTCCAAACTGGATCTCATAGGTGGCGTTTGTGCTCCGGACCTGCACAGGGAACTCCACCTTCAGGAACTTGTGAGCCTCCTTCCACTCAACCTAAATGCAGGAGGAGAAAGACATCACCATGGGGGGATGCACTTAGCCTTCCCCCGCGCGCAGCAGCCAGCTCGCACCCAGACCAGACCAGGCACGATAAAACCACACTAGGACCTGAGCGCAGATGAACTGGAGGGTCTCTCTTTCACCCTTGGCCCTCGGGACCCCCACCCTCTGTCTGCCTTCCCCTAAGGCAGAGGAAGGCAAGCAATTGGGGGCTCCAGGGAAGGAAACAGGAGGGGGAATGTAACTGAGACGTAAAGTTCAGCTCCCCAGGGCCCTGCCTGCCCAGCACAGATGTTCATATCGCGCGGCAGCCGCTGGCCAAACCTGGGTCAGGAAGCGGAGGTACGGGCACGTGGCATCCAGGATGATCTCCTGGGTTAAGGTGCTGCTTTCCCCAATCTGCAGAGAGAAGCTTGCGCTTCCCCGCAGGCCCCCAGCCAGGGTGATTTCCAGAGGCTTCAGCAGCGTTGTCACTGGCTTCCTAGAGGAAGGGATGAAGGCAGAGCTGGTCTCAGCCTGGTAGGTCCAGGTTCCCAAATCCCAACCCAGCCTCCCACACAGCAGGCAGGCACTTCTCCAGAGTGAATGCTCTGTTACAGCTTTTGTTACAGCTAGGGCTGACAGGGAGGCGAGAACCTCAGGGCAAAGTAAAATCCAAGTGCTGCCTGCACTGCTCCTCTACCTGGTTTCCAAGTGATAATCCATCACGTCCCAGGCATCCCAGTACAGGGGAACATCATCAAAGAGCGCAAACTGGTTGGCATAGCAGCCATCTGGCACTGACTCTCTGGAACAAAGTGGAACAGAGAAACAGCAGCATAAGGAGAATGGGCAGTGGAGAAGGGTGTACAGGGAGAAGACGACCTGAGAGAGGTTTGAGGAGCCCGGTTCCAGTAACTGGGTGATAGACACACCTCTCGGAGTCCAGCAGCCGAAGCGAGGTCAAGTGCCCCATCATGTCCAGGCAGACTGCAATCACCCCATTCTCCATGGCAATGGAGCCATCCTCCTTGGGGGAAAGGACACAAACAGATTTCACAGACCCACGCCCGCGGGAGCTGAGTGCCCTAGCTGCAAATCCGGTGTGCGGTTTTACTGTGTGATGTATTCCCTAGATTTCCCCCCAATCGACCTTTGATGCAGAGTACACTGATCTGAGGACAACTGCTGTCGTGCTTACCTGTTTCCTCACTGACACAGGCTGAGGGGGCAGCAACGGCTCCTTCACTATAGCGTAGCCCATGCTGGGGGCTGTCACCAGAGCTGGAAAGCAGAGAGGTTCTGTTCCAACATCCGCCCCGGACCTAACCCGGAGTCACACTGTGCTGCCCTGCTGCTCTCACGCCAGATCTACCACCTCCTTTCATACCCTCCTCTTCTTCATCCACAGTTCAGGGATAACTTGAAGTGGGATAAAGTCCCAAGGAGCCATTTGACAAGTCAGTAAACCCTCCCCAGGGCAGGGAGAGGCAGAGTATTCCTTTATTAGCTGTCTCTGTCCCTGTAAGAAATTCTGTTACATGAGTTACCCCTCAAGTTAGACATACCTAAAGTCTCTGTTCCGTCTGGCCCAGTCCTGGAGATCACCTCGGTCCGTTCCCAGGGCAAAGTGTTCAACACGAGGGTGCTCCTGGTGCTCCCTGCCTCGGGCTGCAGCAGTTGTTCCCTGCACAAGGACTGCACAGCTTCCTCCTGCAGCCGGGCGCCAGCCCTGCGGATCTCTGAGCAACAAAAAGGCCTGAGTTGGCTCCGGCCAGGCCGTGTCTCACATCTGAGAGAGTTTCTGGCACCCCCATGCAATGTGCACACACTTTAGCTACTTCTGAGCTACAATTACTAATTATCATTAATGACTATTATCTGTTAGTGAGTAATAGACGTTTATAATTATTCTCAACTTTGTTCTTACTTTGTGATTACAATGAGCTAGGCCAGCTCAACTGCAAAATTGTGGTGCTATAATAAGGTAAAACTACTGTAAGTGCCTGTGGGCAGGCAGGAGCAAACCTTTGCTGGGGTCTACCCTGGCACGCCAGCAGCAAGCAGAGAAGTCAGTAACTCGGGATGTTTTTTAATCCCTTGGCTCCCTCGCTAACTCCCTGTTGAGTTAGCACTGTTACAGACACTTGCCTGCTCAGGTTTGACCCATAGCACCTGGCAGTCCAGGACCGAAACCTCTGCGGCCCCACCAAACAGCACCCAGTGTGCTCCAGTGGGTAAGTGCCCTCCTAGCCAAACGCCCTGCTCACCCGCGTAGTACTGCAGGGCATCCTCAGCCACGAGCTGGATACAGCTGCCTGGCAAAACGTCATGGAATTGGTTGAGCAGCAATAACCTAAAACAGAGAGCAGAAACCAGGTGAGGAAGCAGGGGAGAGCACCGGATTT